TTCGGCTGTCTCTCACAGAGATGAACAGGGTGCCTATTTCATGATGGCTATTAAGTACATATGACAATCTGTAGGGAGTAGCGCTACAACATCATCTCCATTCAAAAAACTAACCAAACATTCATCTTGTTGTGGCTATAAGTCGCCGATACCTGGGATTTTCTCCATGACAGAGCGAACGGCCTCCTGTGTATTCATGTCCGTGGCCATTGTTGATTTCGGAGACTACAATTTCAAACTCGGCGCAGTGGCTACATCATGGCTCTCGGCCACGCCTTCTGTTTGTTGGTTGGTCCGGCGTATTTTCTGCGGATGGTAAACGAGGCAGAGCTCCGAGTGATCAGACTGAGTACTGAAGTGAAATGAAATTAAGCGGAAGTATGAAGGCTGGCGGAGTCAGGCTAGTCTAGCTCAGCATTGAATACGACAACATTATCAGTTTTGTTAATATTTTTATTTGTAAGTAGGTGCATTGTTCATAAAGTGAAATGTTGTGATGTTAGTGTAGCCTTAGCGTTGCCACCTTGCTGCTGATTTTGTTGGGGTGCATTCCAGAACCACACGCGAGTACCAGGAAGTGCAGCAAAATTGGTTTTATTGAAATCAGGGGTGGAAACCTCGGCAGGGCTGAAGGCAGCGGTACAAAGTCCAGAATCCAAAAACAAAATCCAGAGAGCAAGAAACAGTTTGTAACCAGGGCAGCAATCGCAAGTTTCAAGGTCAGGCAAAGCAGGTTCGGTACACGGCCAAGGTAATATCACAGGCAGAGGTAGAATCAAAATCCAGGACGTTCCAGTCAGAAGTATAACGCTATGAATACAGGGCATGAACAGAGTTGCAAGAGAAAACATTCTGACAAAGGCTGGCTGTGATCAGACTGCTTAAATACACATGCGGGAAGTCACATGCTATAATAGGGAACAGGCGAGCTGGATCAAACTAATTAACAAGGGCATGAACAAGAGGAAGTTCCTAACCACATGAAATTGGCGAAAGCCAAAACGTGGACAGGGATCACACAGACAGCCTATGACAAACAAACGGCTCCGGTTAGGGAGTTCTAAAGTGCGCAGAGCGTGAGAGGCAGAACAGTGTTTAACAAGGTGCGAAGAATCCGCCGAATTGCAGCAAAGTAAAGTGAGTGAAGGCAAGGGGCGGAGATAAGAGCAGAGAGAGTGCTGAGAGCTCGTTAGTCAATTAGTAATGCGCAGCTATACAATCCCTAAGTGCTCGCTAGTAAGTTAGTACTATAAACAATGTTAGTAACTTTTAGTAATTTATCCAAAATAATAAACTGTTAGTATTTATTAGTAAAGACAAAACAGCAAGGCGAAGGAAGCAAACGAGATTGGAAGGAATAATTGTAAACCCAGAAACCATGAAATCATCTGAAAACGTGGCATGCAAAACTAGGGAACAAACAGTCTCAAAACACATGACCAGACTGGAGAGACAATGTGCAATGCATGGCATGGAATGATTCATAAACCAGAATGATAATCTAAACAGTGACTATGAGTAATGGCAGGATACAGGACATGGCATGGCAAGACAGGACAGATACAAAACATGACATGGAATGAAGCAAAACATGGCCTGGCAAAAGCAGAATCATAACAGATTTTGCTACGATTCCAAGGAAAAACCGCCCCAACAGAAATGAACACAATTTTGTTGTGGACACGACCGCAAATCTTCAAAGCGAGAAAATGAAAATTATCTAGTGGTCAAACTTGCTCAAGTTAAGCCCCAGTCAGAACTGCAAATGCCTTGCAAAACAGTTTCGCAGCTGCACGGGACATGATGCAATTGATAAGAAGACTGCCTCGATGCTGACAGCAATCCATGCACATTCTTTTTTATCTTTGTTTGTATACTCCAGCAACACCATATTGAACAAAATTATACAAAGTGGGTCCACCAGAATGATGCTTTCCTCCAATGCGATATGCCAACAGGAGCTGTCAGAATTTTGACTGACAGAAATCAGGTGGACGGCACCTATCTATTTTGATTGCCATGGCGACAGTATTGGCTGAATAATGCGCAAAAAAGTGGAGAAGTGAGCTTTTGGGGGCTACAACCATGTGGTCGCAGCCGACCGGACTGTCTAGTTTGGCTCTGCATTTGGTTAGACATGCACTGTTACAGCTCTATTTTTGTGCCATTGCAAATGGAAACACATGTGATGGTATTGTTCTGCACAATTTGGTCCTTCTCATAAGCATATTTATTGCCTTCATGCACTCTGATGCTTTGACATAAAATAATTTGCGACACAGTGGGTAGTCCTGCGCATTACAGGGTGTATCAACATGTGAGGCTGGCATGGTGCAATTTTTGTGTCCAAGAACTTGCTTGCGTTTGACTCACCCGGACCTCCTGTTAACGCAAACGCTGTCTGTCTCTCCATGGGATTGAATTCCAGGCAGCGGAACTATTTAAAAAACGATATCATTCATACTGTTTTGTTTCCCTGCTCAGTTCTCACTTTCGTCATGTAGGCCTACCCTATAAACAGGCTAATGCCAACAAAATTGTGGTGGGGTCTAATGGGAAGGGGAGGGTGAAGGGGTACTTCTACATTTGTGAATATTTTCTCTGTGTGGGGGAAATGAAAGTAAGCAACTTCAGTCTTGCACTTGTTTTAAAAACCTAAATTCCGTTTAGTATACGGTTTAAATGGCCCACATCTTTTCATACAAAGTGCATTTCGTGGTGAACCAACCTCTATTCATAATGGATGCAGATTCACAGTCGTAGATTTAGGCAGTTTAATGTTTTCTTCTGTATTCTGTTTTCTAATGGAAAAAGCTCCAGCTATTTCTCTAGGCTATGTTCATTTTCTACTGAAAGGTCCAAGTAAATTAACCGCTGTTTGTTTATTTTAAAAAGTTGCTGTTCGTGTCAAACAAATGCGAGGTAACATTAGCTCCAAATGCATCAGAGAGCTAAATAAGCATTAGGTAACCTTAACTAACCATTTATTAATGCTCTCTGACATTCTTATTATCAAGTTGAAAACATCCTTTCAGTATCCCTTAAGTTTTAACACGTCAAACTATAAAACTATTCAATAATGTATAAATTAATACCTTAGTTAACACGAACACCATTAGTAAATCATTAGTAGATCCATTAGTTTACTGTTAATTAACTGTAGTTAACATTAGCTAATGCAGTAAGAAGGATTAATTAATGTATCCTTATTGTAAAGTGTTGCCAGTTAATGTTACTGTTAAGATAAGACCTCCGAGGACTGTTCTCATTCCTAACATTAGAGCGATCACTGGGATAAATGAAGCAAGCTTGCTAGATCGGTTAAACTATCTCGCTGGCAAGCAGACTTCAGTTACTGTTTGTTGTAACACATTCAAATTCTGTATGTTATCTTGATAGCAAATGTTCTTTAGGCCCACTGCTTAGTCCCCAAAAATATTAAGAGCTAGTTTGAGAAACCTAACAATTAATAATGCTACTTGTGACATTTTCCCTTGAAGTAAATAAACCATGTTTTAGTGTTATAAATCTTTTGTGTTTTCCAAGCAAAGGGAGCTAAAAGAAAAAAATAAAAATAATTGGGTAAATTGAGGGCAAACGCAACCTGCCGGAAACAAAGTGCTGACTGCACACACGGGAGTTAACTTGATTCTGGCTGCCAACCTTTTATTCTGCCAATCTAAGTCCTTTAGGATGGAATATAACTAGTTCGGAGTACCTATGATGTCTGTTGTTTCAGCCAACTGCAAAACATATCCTGAGCATGTTGGATTAACTTTATTGTAGAATTTTGACATCTTCTCTTTTTGTCTGGTAGCCGTGACCTATGACTATGTTGCACAGCTGTGGCCTTTTCGAACACAAAGATGGCAGCACTAAAGCACTGTGACGTTACGTGGTCCAGATGAATAGAAATAATTTCTAGAATGTCGAGTGCAAACTCCAATTTTTTTATATTTTATCGCTGTGGGCCTCAGTGTTGATGGTCTATTTACCGAATTTTACTTCATGCATTTGCATGTGTTCTTTGCCAGCGGGATTATTTTTATAGCTAAAGTCACGCTGTCTTGCGGAAACTTTTGCGTTGGATTGTGCACGTCGCCTGTGATTATTCATGTACATGTGAACAGGTTTGCTAAATCATTTCTGTTGCAGTGATTACTTCATTTTCTGGTGTGTATTATGAGCTGTATGATCTCCACACTCCACCAGTCTGTTTATTATTATTGTTGTTGTTGTTGTTTGTTAATAATAATAATAATAATACATTTATTAGTGTATTTATTTATTTGTATTTTTTGATCAGTTGCTGATTGTTTCCTTGGCACTGAAATGACTGCGGTGGTCAACCACTTCATGCTTTGCTTTGTGGAGGCAGCTGTCTTCCATTAGCCTGCTCATTTTCATCTGAACAAATTACCAGTTCGCTATGGTGTTAATGCACAGATTTTAAAGGGAATGACAGCATTTGATCTGATTGGCATTAATCGAACCAAACCTCCACCACATCCACAGATAATTAATTCCTTTTGGTCCAACCCTTTTGATAACAGTGCCCGAGTTGCGCTATTGCCTTGTGTTATGAAATCACAAAATTGGAGTTAGACATGCCCATGTTTGATCTGCGATACTGTCAGTACTTGTGTTAGCTGACTGTGTTCATTCTTCAGAATAGGGCTGATATAAATTTGTACGCAACTACCTCAGAATTTTTTATTTACTTCCAGATCCATGGGTCCAGTGTCTATGCAAAAAATTAATGAGGTTTAAAGTCTGTGAAAATAAGGACCATGATTAAATTAAGGATGTGAATACAAAAACCATGCAAGTAAAATGGACTGCATTTGTATAGTGCTTTTCTAGTCACATGACACAAAGCGCTTTACAGTTATGCCTCACATTCACCCTGATGGCTGAGGTTGCCATGCAAGGCGCCAACCTGCACATCAGGAGCAGTGTAGGGTTCAGTGTCTTGCTCAAGCACACTTCGATACGTTCTGTGGAGGAGCCGGGGATTGAACCAGAAACCTGCGGATTCCAAGATCACCCGCTCTACTGCCTGAGCCATACCGCCCCTAACTAACATTACATTAACGAACTTGCGGTTCCTATGGTCGATTGAACGGAAATTCACGCAGTTTTAGGCGTGATATGCCATGGTCTTCTAACAGCTATCCCTCCAGGGGGATCACCTAGAAGACTGCAAGATTGGCTAGAATGGCTAGAGTTCGCTAGTATAAAGGAATCATGACTTTATCCTGAATAATTTTCGAATAACTTAATGTGTGATCTTGCAGTCTGAATCGCGAATCACCTGGATGTCGATGGTCTACATTCCTCATGATTTAAATAAATCAGAGCGATCAATAAGCGGGCACGCAGTTGCACGGCCATGCAAAAGATCACACTCGCCATAATGACATATTTCTTTAATATCTTGAATTAATCAAGATTCTTGATTTGCACAATAGTAATTTTTTACATTGTAATCTTTTTATTTTTAATCGTTTGTATGTCTGCGCTCTGCTGCTGGTCCCTGCGTGTGTAACAAGCCATGGGTATGCACACTGTGCACTCATCTACAAATGCACATCGTACGATCTTAATAGCAGTTAAAAATAGTGGCAAAGCCACTGTGCCCACTTGGCCAAAATGGAACGCTCCCTATTGGCCAAAGCATCTGTCCAATTCGGCTCAAAATCGAACTTAGTCTAGACCTTAAGACCATATATACACATATGAAATACGAGAAGGATCGGTGAAAAACTGAAGACGCTAGACGGCAGACAAGCCAAAAGTTTACGCACGCACGCACAAAAGACCACCACAAAAGACCCCGAGCGTAGCATAAGCCCCTTGGGCCTTTTGGCCAAGCGGGCTAAAAACTGACTAATGACTTTAGACCAGGTTTTTCTTGGTCAATCACGCTGGAGCTTTACGTTTCCTCATGATAGTAACACGCCAGCAGGGTGCCTGACCACACTTCATTTAAAGACCAACATGCCAACGGGCGCTCAATTTAGTGCAGATGCATTCGCTATTTATGCAGCGTGGACGTATAGCCATGGAAACATATTCTGAACAGGGGATGCTGAGAAAACGGGTGTGGGTGTGTGTGGGTGTAGTGGCAGGAATGACATTTTCAGTGCGCATATAAACACTTAATTAGCAATCCATAAAATATGGTCTACCGGCAGGCGCAACTTTACTATGGAGTGCTTGTACGCTGTTTTATCCCTCTATTGTTTAAGTTAACACATGCTGGAGTCCTTCTCCTGGAAAGAATTCTGTATCCAACTTCCACATTTTTTGGCTTTTTATTTGCAAGAACGATTTTGAAAGGGGCTCCACTAGAAATTAAAACTCTAAACTCTAAATTTTAAACTCTAAACTCTAAATTTTCTTAACTGGATGCACGCTTGACATTTTTGCATACCGGATTGTTTGCTCTGGGTATTCAAACATCAAGGTAAGCCAGAAAAGTACTGATTTTATTTTATATTGGTGTAGGTTGAATACGGAATTCTTTCCCTTCCCCTTATACAGGAAATTTGTAAGTCATCTCATAATCAGCAGCCCAGTGAAAAAATGTACATAAAGTCAATCTTCGTTTCTCGCTCATCTGTTTCTTTCTTCTGAGACTCTCGTATTGTCTTGGTACAGATGGAGTTCAGCCGCATCAGCGAATCTCCGCAGCATCACTCCCGTGCACTGGTGCTGCTCACTAACAGTGTATCATTCACATTTCATCCTTTCCAACCCACTCAGAACATCTAGCTAATGAAGGCTGAACTACAAATACTGTATCTATTTGTGCAGTGCTGTCATGCAAGTTCTGCGCTAGCATAAAATAATAGATACTTAATATTTTGGATCTTATCTTAAATGTTGCTGAGAAGTTGTGACATCAACTATGCATGTCTGCTATTGGTTTAAGAATTAAGAGTGTGCATGCAATGGTAAGTAAATGATTAGCTATGCTATAGCTATAGTTTTTAGGCTCAATTTATTGTCATGGTTTGTGAGGTGTGCGTGTTGTTTGCACCTTTCTTTGCGGCTCTCGTCCGGGGACGATATCGAATTCCTGGGCCATCGAATTCTTTACCCAGCTGGTTGATTGAGCTGGGACGGCGCTTCCCCAGAATCTATATAAGCAGGATATCTGGCACGCCTCCTTTGCGAGAGTGTCTGTGTTTAGATTCGCACTATAGCCGAAGATATCTGTAGTCAGGTTTTGTATGACTTTCTATCTTCTTATTGTTGGAGTTTCTTCTCCCTTTTTCTATCTCGCTTTGCTTCTGTGGTTCGGACTATTATATGTCCTTTGGAAGTGCGAGTACTTGCGTTTGGTCTATATTATTATGTGTTTGTACTGTGTTCGTGCTACTTTCTTTCTCTCTGTCGTTGCGCTTGGCCTCCTTATACTACTGGCCATTACAGAACACTCTAGCCAGCATGGAGTCGTCAGCAACGGCTGCGTTAGAGAAAGTTGTGGCTAACTAACAAGCTGCTGTCTCCGGTTATGGCAAGGTTCTTGTTAGCCTGAACAAACAACAGGCAGAGTTGGCGGAAAGAGTCCGCCTTCAGGCGAATGCCATGGAGAGACAGGAGAACGTTCTGTTAACTCTCACTGAAAGTATTAGAGCCCTGTCCACGCAAATCACACAAAATGTTGCACAAGCACAGTCCGTACATTCTCCCCGAGAGCCAAAGCTTCAGTTACCCCCAAGATATGGAGGCGAGGCAGGAAGATGTAAAGATTTCATTGCCCAATGTGAGATATTTTTTAAAGCGCAGCCTTCACGGTTCGTGAATGAAGTGTCTCGGGTTTCATTTATTTTATCCCTGTTAACCGACACAACACTCACTTGGGTTGGCCCACTTACTTGATCAATTCACTGGTAGTGAATACTGTGGAGACTCTCGTTAGAGAAATGGTATCGGTGTTTGATCAGGATGGTTGTGGCCAGGACACGGCTACGCGTTTAATGCATCTAAGGCAGGGCTCTGAGAGTGTAGCTGCATTTTCAATCACATTTCGCTCCTTGGCTACAGAGTCAGGCTGGCCAGAAGCGCCCCTTATGACAGTGTTCATTCACGCTTTGGCAGAGGAGGTTAAGGACGCTCTGGCTACATTGGAGCCTTGTTTGTCTCTAGATTCGTTGGTTACGACTCTGCGGTGCGATTTGATAACGATCCGCGAACGTAACAGGGAGAAATATACTGCATTGGCACTTGCTGGCAACGGGGCTAATGCTACTAGCAGCATGCTTAAAGTTCCCATTCCACCCACTGAAAATTCCACTCCTGGCGAGCCTATGCAGGTTGATGGCTCATATGAGAGCCGGGCTTGTAAGCCTGTTCGGAAACGTATAATCTGCTATAATTGTAACAAACCGGGACGTATCCGTCCACGCTGCCCTGAGCTTCAGGGAAACGGGAAGTCCCTCTAGCGGTGTGGGGGGCACTAGAGGGACAGACCCAAGTTCCCTTCTGAACTTTAATCCCTGTAGAATTGACTGTGGGGAGACAGAGAATATTTATCGAAGCTTTTGTGGACTCTGGCGCCGTGGATTGTTTTATGGATGCAGAGTGGGATAGGAGACATTCCATTCCTATCCGCCCTCTTTTACATTCACGCTCTGTTAGATCTTTGGACGGTCGCCCGCTGGGAATTGGAGTTATAACTAAAGTTTCTGAATCATTGACTATGTTCATCTCTTTTGGTGGCCATTCTGAGGAGGTCCGGTTTTCTATTATCAGTTCACCTGTTTTCCCTGTCGGTTTAGGACACTCTTGGCTACGGGAACATAGGCCTTATATCATTTGGGGAAGGCAGGATAACCCGATTGTCCAGTGGGGGACTGATTGTAGGTCCCACTGTAGGGATAGTTTGGCGTGTCATCCCAGGCATCGACCTGTGGGGGAGGCTAACGCCTGGAGTGATTCTGAGGAGTTTGCCTCACACAACCCTCCTAATCTACAGAAAGGGGTGGAGGAGGGGTTGGAGTGGGATCCTCAATTTGACTGGCGGCAGCCAGAGGGGATTGCTATTCGGAGGATTTCTCTGACTCTGAATCTGACTTAGAGGGGGCAGGTTCTGAACAGGGTGAGAATTTGGGGGCTGCTCTGAACTTTTGTCTGCCTCCTAATGTTCCTGATGATTATGCTGATCTCGCGGAGGTTTTTAGCAAGCAACGGGCCTCGACTTCACCTCCTCATCGCACGTTCGATTGCGAGATCAATCTCCACCCGGGTACCACTCCCCCGAGGGGTTCATTATACTCGCTGTCAGGGCCTGAACAGAAGGCTATGCGAGAATATATTCAGGAGGCTCTGGCTAATGGATTTATTCGGCCCTCCACGTCTCCTGCCGGAGCGGGGTTCTTTTTTATGGGCAAAAAAGATGGCGGTCTGAGACCCTGTATTGATTACAGGGGCTTGAATAATATCACTACTCAAAACTGATACCCACTTCCGTTGATGAACTCTGTGTTTGAACAGCTGCAGGAGGCGTCGTTTTTTTACCAAGCTAGACCTCCCGAATGCTTATAACTTGGTTCAGATCCGTGAGGGGGACGAGCGGAAAACGGCATTTAATACGCATGACGGGCACTACGAATATTTGGTCATGCCGTTTGGATTGGTTAACGCCCCCTCTGTGTTCCAGGCACTGGTTAATGACGTCCTCCGAGAGATGTTGGAGAGATTCGTCTTTGTCTACCTTGAAGATATTCTGATTTTCTCTTCAACTCTCTCGGAGCATAAATAACACGTCAGACAAGTGCTTGAGGCCCTCCTCAAAGCCAAGCCTTTTGTCAAGGCTGAGGAATGCGTTTTTCATGCCAAGACAGTTTAGTTTCTTGGCTTCATTATTTTGGAAGGGTCGGTCCGCATGGATCCTGACCAAATGTCCGCATGGATCCTGACCAAGTGGATCCTGCCCCTCAAAACATTAAGGAGGTGGAACGGTTTTTGAGGTTTGCTAATTTTTATAGGAGGTTTATCTGTAATTTTAGCGTGGTAGCTGCCCCCACGCTTTGTCGCGGATTCATGACTGCTCCGATCGTGACC